GATTAAATCAGCTTAAACTAAAAATAAAGCATGCAGATGTTGATATTGCTGTTTTATTCCAGCAGAGAATCATGTTTTTTTTCTTTTTAACTCATGAAATGCCACACATTTTTACTATGTGATTTCTAAAAGGAACAGAGATTACAATTCTGCACATGTTCAGTGGTATTGTAATAGGACAACTGTTTGCACAGCTACTGGGAAATAAAATTCCTACTTCCAGAATTTGTATAAGGTTGGAAGTTAAGAAGACTTGGAGATTTTCTTCTTGCATATTGAATGACACATTCCAAGGATAAACATATCAGAAGCTCAGCATGACTGAATCTTGCTCCCAGGATCCTTTGTGAAAGGTCAGGCTAACAAAGCCTTGTCCAAGCACGGTAGAGTCAGGTTGTCATTTCTCTGAGCAAACATTAAAAAAACTTTCTAGACACTTCAGACTATTTATAGGAAGACTCTAGCCAGCTCTTAACCATAGAAAAAAATTCCACCGACTTTAATATAGAGCATATATAGCATTTTTAAAACCAGATAACACAGCTGTAGCTAGCCAATGCCTCTGGAAGATATTATTAACATTGTGATTCCAAAACTGCATTATGAACGATGCAATCCTGGTACACCTGAAAGTCACGAGGTTAGAAAAGAAATGAGCATCTTTTATTTGACATCAAAAATTGGTGTTCAGAGTAATTAAGTAATTAAGTAATTACTCCACTTAATAGTAAGGGACAGACTATGCCATGTGAATTTGCCTAACCCATTCTTAAAATACCTATAGGGCTCTCTTCTTGCTGAACAAGTCCATTGCATTGTGATAACCTGGAGACATTATGGGCCATTGGATAACGGGGAAGAGGAGAAATTCTGAGCTAGAGCCTGCCCTCTATTACATTCCCTTGCATTAGAAAATATTCAGATGGAGAAAATATCAAGTTGAGCACAATCCTCCTAACATAGTCCTTGCTTTGCTGTGTTAGATTTATACTTACAATCACTATACAGTATAGCTGATTTTTTAAAGAAGTAATGGGAATGTTCAAAAATAAACATTAACACTTGTAGCTTAAGATTAGTATTACCTTATGTGCCTCCATTGGTTATTACTTTATCTTGCAGCATATATTAGAAGAAATAGTCAACTAGAAGAGCAAGTCAACTGCTAGATGAATAAAGCCAATCATTTTTGTATGTCCTAATTCTATGTAATATCTCATATTGAAAATAAATGTAAAAACTGAACTTGGGTAAAAGTAAAACGCTGCTTAAATTGCACTAACTCCTCTGGCTATCACCTCCTTATATCTCTCCTAACTAGAGGAGAAAAGAGGCTTCACTCAAAAGGGGACAAAATTGGTGTGGAGTTTTCAAGAGGATGGGAAATCAAATCTCCCAACAGCTCCAAGCAACTCTCTGGAAGCTTCGAAAGCTAAGCTGGCAAAGGCAGGTGGTTGCACAGCTGTGCCATTTGGATCATGCGCTCCCATCAATATTCATGAGGCAGCCTGGCCAATCAGCAGAGTAGCTGTCATTAGTGAGCATCTGGCTAGTGAGAAGAGGCTTGTTTTGAGTTTTTCTTTAAAGTGAACTTCTTTTGACATTTTGAGAATGTTCCTCCATAGGTTTCAAAGTCCTCTTCCCGTGCCCTCCACCTGTGTGCTTGGCTTAATCCCTTATGTGACAGAGGTCCAAAGTGCCTCTGAAATGAAGAATTGCAATCTAAGAGGAGGAGGTTGACAACCAATATCACATGCCAATTCTTTAAAAACATATTGAGTTCCAAATTCCAATATTATTTTGTACATACCCTTCTAACACAAGACCACACAGCCACATAAGTTACATGACCCACTTCATGCATGAGTTATTGGGGGGTCTTATGGTACTGGAAGAACATGAAAAAAATTCATTCCACCAATTCTGTGCAGTTAAAATAATACAGCAAATCCTAAATCATTTTCCACATCCTGATATTCCAGGTATATTGGGACTATGTTTCCCCAAATTCCCAGCTAGTATGCTGGTTAGAAATTCCATAGTTTGTAGTTCCAGTGCTTAGAGAGAGCTGTTCAATACACATACACCCATACACACATGTATATAATTAAGAGAAGATATCAATAGATTTCTTCCTTAGCTGAGATTTTGAAGGCACTTCATCTCTATACTCCATTGTCCATCAAGCAAAACTGTCCAAGAGTCTTATCTGGTCCACATTCCAAACACAAATTAAGCCTGCAGATTCAGCTATGGCCCATATGCTATCTTCATCTATATCAGAATCTACTTTTCCATAAGAATGTACAAGTCCATTGTAGGAAACTGTGTTGTAAGTAAAGTTCTCCAATGGCCTTATCTATAGTAACTCCACTACATCTTCTAAGGCAGAAATAGGTGACCTCCTACAAAGTTCTTGTGTAACAATTAAGTTCTCTAACATTTCCCTGCTACAAACATACATCTGTTGGTAGAGATGAAACAGAAAGATAAATATCCATCTTTTTGTTTTTCCAATTAATGGTTGCTTTAATTTTGACCATCACACTGTTTCCAACAAATTATCTTTGAGGTAACAAAGTCATCCGAGGAGAAAAAATTGCCTTAGTATCAGGGCCAGCTCAAGGGAATATGTCACTCCCCAATCACATTGACTGAAAGTGCCACCTCTAGCTAATGTAAAGATTTGCATTTTTAGCATTGGAAGGAAGGATGGCATTACCTATTACAGACATGTCAAACACAAGGCCCGGGTGCCAGATGCGGCCCACGAAATGGTTTCATGTGGCCCGCAAAGCCATCCTGGAAACAGTGAGTGAACGGCCCCTGCTGCCTTGGCCCAGGCCCAGGCTGGCCGGGAGTCAATGTACAATTTTGTGGTGGCCATCTATGCTGAAACGCATTCAATCTTAACTCCATAAGGCTGTCTAGAAACAGCGAGGAACCAGCCCCTGCCGTGTCGGCCCCGCCCCCTGGGTGCATGCTGGGGAAGTGTCACCCTTTGTGAGGAATAAAGAAATGGACCATGCCTTGGGGCTTGCCCCGGTCCCACCCCCTTCTGCCAGAGACCCTCAGATCTGTCTCACTCCTGCCCAGGCCCCCACAGGCATCCTCGACGCAAACGATGTAGAGCTGGCCATGCCCACCCAGTAGGCCACACCCACTCCATCCATGCCCCAGTAGGCCACACCCACCCAGCCCCCCAAGGGCAACCACAATGCTGATGCGGCCCTCAATGAAATTGAGTTTGACACCCCTGACCTATTAGGTCTTAAGCTTCCTTCAAATCAATCTATTGTAGCACAGAACTCATTTGTGTGTGTAATGTGCGTGTGTCTGTCCAAAACAATCCTTAATGAAATTAATAGCATGTATTTTGTTTGTCTTCAGGGATGAAAGGTGCCATGTTTACAGATAATAAAAGCCTTGCATTCTCCGAAAGTAGATGTGATTGAAAACAAAAAATTAGCCCTAAATGCATCCTTTAGATAGAATATCACCTGCCTGCTTTTGATTTTAGCCTAAAGATTACTTGAGGCTTGAAAAGGGCTATTTGGGTAGTAAATTTAATTCTTCCTGGAAGGCTTAAAAGGAGCTTTTCTATTTTCTTTCAGTTTGGTTCTGATTCTTCTTCAAACTCATCCTGCTTTGTGCCTCCCTTTTTTCCATTTCTTCATCGCATATTCTTTTTTCCTCTTATATCAGCTACATCTTTTTCCCCCCATTTTCCCATATTTTACTAGAAAGAAGGCACACGAAATAGAAACATATTTCTGTGTGAGAATAGTTGAAATATGGGATCAGTTATTTGTATCCCTTTATTATTTTTACAAATAAGTCAAAGCAGCAAACATATCCAGCACACCTTCCTCCTCCCATTTTCCTCACAACAATATTCTGAGGTGAGTTGGGCTGAGACAGTGTGACTGACTCAAGGTCACCCAGCTGACTTCCTGGCTAAGTACAACTAGAACTCATGGTCTCCCAGTTTCTAGTTTTGCTTTAACCACTAGACCAAATTGGCTCTCCGTTAATTGTATTAATGTGGTACTTTCTTACAGACAGTTAATTTTAATTAGTAGTTATTAATTCAAACATTCCCTGTCCTGGCCATGCTATTTTATAAAGAATGGGGCTTCTGGCAAGCATATACCCACATATACTGTATATATGAGAGTGTAACATGCACATATTTACAGGAAGTGAGGAATATTAAGTATTGATTTCAAATAGATTTGATAACTTCTTGGCTGACAAGATGGGAGACCCCAGGATTTGGATCGAGTTTGGTGTGAGAGAAAGAAAGATAGTTGGTTCGTCTTTGAGAACAGGGTTTTTCATAAACTCAGGGATTTCTTTTCAAGTAAGCATAATGCACTTATCATAGGCCTGGCATGTTGTAATTTTATGACAATACATTACAGATACTGCTGAAGAAATCTGCTGAATATTACTATTTTGCAACCTGTTGCAATTTTCTCGATGACCCACACACTGAGAAACATCAACTAAAGGCAAGGAACTTAGCAATTCTAGTGTGGGTTTACTTTAATCTTACTCTACAAACTGTAACATGATGAAAGAAAAGGTGATTCATTTTCTCCCCAGGTCCTCATCACAAAAGAAGCTTGAGTAAATCCTCAGGTGGCAGGAGCAGCAGTGAAATCAATGCTTTGGTTAAATATATGTTTATACCGGGTCCTATAAAGGTTCCATTGGGGGAAGAAACTGTTATATGTATTAAGTCAATTTTCAGACAAGATTTAATATTTCCAGATGTTCACTTTGAACTATATTCTTATGCATATAAAGAAAGTAGATTCTGTGTTTATAGTTAAAAGATTTCAGCATTGGAAAAATAAATATATGGTCCCAACAAACAAATCACTCACTGACATAGTTCAGCTATGGATAAAGTATGGTAACCATTCAGTGAAATGCTTTGAGTGTGTGCACATATGTATGTGAATATTTCACACATACATGAAAACAGGCCATTTTTACAATTTTATTTTAAATATTTGTTTTATTTAGTTTTCTCTATAGCTTTAAATATTGTTCCTTTGTGTGCTCTATAATAAAGGTAAAATTCAAATTAAAAATGACATAATCACAAGATAGAGTGGGAAGAGAGGAATAGGCAATGTACTAGTTCTTTTTAAGTAATAATTATTTTGCTTTCATGTACATTTGTTGAGATTATCACAAAAGAAGGGAACACAAAGAAGACAAAAAAACCTTTAAGTACTTTAGCTAAAAAAAAGCCACTGCCCCTAGGATAAAAATTTATTGTGCCAAAAATTGCCTTATTTGTATTTCCCTACCCAGTTTAAAGGACAAAAACTGGGAGAGAGACAACATGGGTCTATTACTTAACTTCTATTGTGTAGTGTGTGGAAATGGAGGGGGGGAGGGATTAAAACATCTCAAGCAAGATCTTCCAGCTCTTGAGAGTCCATTGATTTCAATTCTATTAATATTTTGCTCAAAGATCAGACAAGTCGAATAAAAAATCTGCAAATTGAAATATCTAGACTTATAGAATTGCTGTTTTGCTGCTCCTATAGCAATGAATAAGAGAACTTAGAGGCAGATAGGTACAATTCTTATTTAGTATATAAGGTGGGGTTTATTACTGTCTCCGTGTCAAATTGTGTGCTGTGTCAAAGCAATGAAATACAGCAGGACTCTTCTCAAGATATTCACCTAACAACTAAGAAGAATACAGACTATCGTTCCTTGTTTCCCTTGTATGTTTATAACATGCTCCTCTTAGCAGCTTCGGCAATAATGAATTGGGAAGAGAGTCTGGCTATTTAGCCCAGCTGTGTATATCTACCAAGGAACTCAGATGTGGATTTGGCATCCATGGCAAGCAGGTGCGCTTTCTGGCACCATCTTAAAAAGAAGTTGTACTACAGGCAAATAGTTTTGATACAAAAGACAGCTGGATTTTTGCAACAAGAATGATCAGTTATAGATATGGAGGATGCGGGGAGAGAGCGTAGTCAACAAGCCAGAGCAATTTTCTATACAGGATAATTTGTCAAAGTATGCAAAAAGTTGATGGAAGAACAGAAAAAAAGGATACCCAAAAACTACTTCTGCATTCATAAGCCTCAATTCTAATTGTTCAAATTGTTCAATTCTAATTGTTCACACCCAAGCCGCTAGAGATAATCCAAACACTTGTGCCTGGAGTTCTAATAATCCACATAATTTTCAACAAAGTGGCAAAAGTTAATGCTGAGCTTCAAGCACATCCTGAATGGGCTTTTTATTCTAATTGTTGATGTGGTGATTTGATGTTGTGGAACCAGCCTGCAGCAGTCCTGTTGGTTGATGGTCATCTTCCTCAGAACACGGACTCTCCAATTTGTTGTCATCTATGCTGACATCACTCCAATGAGGGAGTGGTTCTATGGAACTTTGGACAAATTGGCTTTCTTCATCAAAACTTCAGCACAGACCAGGAGAGTTGAGAGCAACAGAGAAAGAAAGAGATATTTAATTTAATTTAAAGCTGCTGATTCATTCTCAGAATTCTACTGCCTAGAGTTTCATGGTCTAGAACCAGAGGTCTATGAGCTTTTTTTCTGATGACCAAGTGTTATTCACCAGTTTCTGAGATAACACCAGTATCAATACCAGCACAGGGTGCCTCCCCCACAAGTGATTCCCTATCTTGCCACAAGCATGCTGCCAGCAAATACTAGTGTTCTTATTTATGATATATAGGATATGTTAGGGCAAAGATTGTTATTTCCTTTCACTTCCTTTCAACTTTCATCAGTCTGCAAGAAAACATCCAGTAATAATTCTCTTTAACTTTGGATGGGATGGAGAAGAAGGAATATTTTGAAGATGGCTAGATAAGTGAATTTAGCTATCTGTCAAAACCTGCTTGGATTTTATGGAGGTATTATACATGGGGGGAGGGGTTTACTGGACACAGATTTAGCAATATTCCAGGAAAGTAGTAAGCACATGTTCAAAATGATCTATATTTTCTTCCGGAACAGCACTAAACCTGTTCAGTTCCAGGGATCAGTTCAATGAATACAGGAAGAGATCTGGTTTGTAAGGACTGCTTAAATCAGAATATACTAAAAGTAGTGTACAGGTCTAATAGGAAAGTTGGCATAACCACAACAGCCTAAGTAGCCAATAGGTTTCAAGCTAGAGATTTCCTGGCTGTGTCACAGAATGATTATTAAAGCATATCAAATTGTTTCCATGGCAAAATATTTACCAGGATAAGGGGGAAATACTAGTTTAGCAATGATATAGTTAAGGACAGCAGTTATGGACTGGGGAATCAGACGAAAGCAATATCTTGAAGAAACAGAAAAGGTTTGTTGTTTGTGCTGTAATTTGATGCAAGTAAAGAAATATCTGGAATGTAAACACATATCTAAAACTGTATTTACCATGCATAGCCAACTCAGTTTCTTACAGAAACAAACTACCACATTTAATAGATATATGAAAGAATCCATTAAAAGGTAATAGAGCTAGGATACTAGATAGTGTGACAAAACCATTTTAACATCTGCTACTCCAAATTCTAAATGCAAAAAAAAAAACTTGGGATATGGAAGAAAAAGGAATGATGATACAATTTTTCATATGGACTGGATACAAATCACAGTCAAATCTGAATGTATTTGGGAATTCCATTAAAATTCCATAGAATCAAACAAGAAAATCATGTCATAAATTATGGTACAAAAGAATGAGAAATTGGGAGCTTTTTCTGCTAAAATATAACATATCTGCCAAAATCATACTTGACTGTCATAACTGCTTGATCAAAGTTCTAGAATTGATTCTTGATTAAGAAGGAAACAGAATCATTAATAAGCTTCTCTCTGAGAGAAGAGACAAACAGACATGACAGACAGACAAAGTCAACAACTGAACACATAAACAACCAATTTCCAGCCAAATATTGATTACCCACTTCCATTTCCTATTAGGTGGGTTAAGAGAAAGAGGAGAATAGCTGTTCGATTCAGCACCTAATGGCTGTAGTCAATCCCTCAGGCTCTACACTCACATTTATTGCTGGGTTTTGAGCCCTAACAGACATGCACATTCCTAAACTCAGATCACATGTGCAATCATACTCCAAGTGCCTACTTCCTCATCTCTTTCATACCTTTGCCCATCATTTCCATGCAACTGACCTTATTACAGAGAAGTTAAAGTCACATATCTAGGTGTCCCCTCTAAATTTGATTTTGGAATCTGGAAAGCTTTATTTCTATAGCTCTAGCACAATCTGTATCAGAGATCTTGCAAACAAGGACTGATTGGAAGCCATGAGCAAGCATAGAAGTACAAAACATCCTGGACAAGAAACTATGATTACTGTCTTCTGGACCATTACATTCATTCCACTCACCTGTTGCCAAAGTCATGCACAGCCAGCAAAGCTGAATGACTGTCCTCCTGAATCCAACCACAGTTGGACCTGGCATAGTGGAGAATAGCATCAGTGACACTCATAGGGCCTCGACCCTGCACATAAGCTTCAATTTCTGGTACAGAGAGCTGGCTTTGTAGAAAAAGGTGCAGCTGGCTATCTGAAAGGAGTACAACATTCTGTACTGTCCTAGAATATGAATAGAAAAATTGGAAATTCTAAGCACAAAAGCTACAACAATCAGATCTTCAGAAACAACACTTAAGGTCTTATTACCTTTCCTGCTCATGCACATCTGAGGTTCTTATAGACAGAGAGACTTTCAAAGTGTGACGTGAGAATCTACGGTAGAAGAAACACGCCCACCCACCCTTTTCTTTTTTAAAAATCTGCTGGCAGCCTTGGCCAACTTTTATTCATTTCCACTGCAATGTTTCCATTGAAAGGGGAAAAGGATATGCCAACTATAATACTAGCATATAATTCTTCCTGTATTGAAGGAAAGGGAAGAGGTTTTTATATGGCTTTCTCGATCCACGCTGGCATGCCTTTCTCCACCACTGTTAGAGTTCTAACAGTAGAACTGCTGGGGCATCAAAGCTTTCTGCCACTGTAATAGGAATACTATCAATTATTGATTTGTTCTTACAGCTGCAGAAGGGGAGATCAATATCACTCCTAAGAAATTCCTAGGAAACTTGCCAGGTTCACTGACCTGTACCAGAGACCTGTCTTTTTTGACAGGCTTTGGGTTTTCCAAGATTTTCTACCTATTTGTCAACTTTTTCTTGTCATATTTTTTATTTTGATTTTTTTAAAAAATCAACTAAGCTTGCTTATTTACAGTAAATTGAAACTATCTTGATTATGTTATCATTTCACTCCTTTGCCCACCATTATAAGCTTGATGACAAATTCTAATCAGGTGGGATCTAGAAAATCTTCTATCCTGTTCCTCAGTTTCCACTCACTTCTCCAAGAACTGTTGCAATCCTTGTCTTCGTTTCTCAATAAATTCATCAGTGTTACCTGCGAAGAAAGTGGATTTCCCTGGAAGTTCTGGGACAGGCCTACAGGATATGAAGGAGAGGAGTACATATATATAAAAATACACCACTCCTTGAGGATGCATCCCAATAAAAAGTAATTAGCAGTCTTCTGCTACACCATGAGCTCGTTCTTCACTAAAATAGGGGCACCTTCTGGAACATACCATTCTATTAAAAGCCTATTCCCATCAAGGTTTGAAGCCTACCGTGAAGTTAATTTAATTCAGCAGCAATGCTGACAAAGAAGAATATATCTTCTCCAAGAGTTGGACTTCTGGATCATTAACAGCCCTGCAAAAATTCAAATCTTCTGCAAGCTGAGGCAGTGCTTTGAAACAGTATTGTGCTATATCCACATCAAATTTATGAAAGGTTTGGGGGGATGGTTCTAAAGATGATAGGTCAAGGTTAGGGATCTTCTCCCCTGAAAGTTTACAAATTGTGTTTTGCAAAAAATCAACAAGCTCATCAAGCTTTCTTGGAAATAGATAAAATGGAAAGTAAAATCCAAAATATAAAACCATCATTATCTTCTGGAACTGCCAATAGTCTTCCATGACAGACCTGAACTTATTAAATTTTGAACTCAGAAATTGACTCTAGGTCTGTCGATATGCAAATCATGTATTCTTTGCTAAGCTCTGTTCAGCTTTAATACATAATTATGTATTACCATTCAGGCATATATCCACATTGACATTTCTAAGGTAAGTTTAAAAGTGTCACTTAGTCTTACCACCAGTACAGAAAATTATATTCTAGTTTATCACTGAAATATTTTCAAATGATGTGCAAATGTCCTTTGATGGCATGGGCTACTATTAAAAAAAAAACAATCTCACACTTACACCAAGCCAGCATTTCTTTGCAGCTGTTTCTTTAACCACACAAACTCACGATATCGTCTGCGCACACAAGATGTCTTGGCTGTGAAAGCTTTACTATTGGTCTGTAGAATAAGAAGAAACATGGTTGTTTATTCCACTTGTTTTTAGTCCAAATCCCTTTCTAAACTGTCTCCTTCTGCTGGCTGCTGTGTTAATAGAGAATTGCTATGATAAACAGCTTTTATCACAGCATTTTTTTAAAAGAGTGAACTTTAATTAAAAGTCATTTTAAAAAAAAATCATTTGATTTTTTTTTATTGAAGAATTTTATGCAGTAATAAAAGGAATACGCATTTAAGAAAAAATATGAAAGAAAACTAGTAAATAAAGAAGAAAGTATAAAGTTGCTTTCAATCTTCTTTATATCAGTTACAAATACATGGATTGTCTGTTTTCCTCTTTAAGATTATATCATGATTCTCTTCTCAGGTTTTTCTCTTTCTATTTAATTTGATTTTCAAAGTGTTTCATACTGTGAAATGTAAAAATGTGGCCAAACAATAGATTAAATTTGGTTGAAATTTCTAATAATTCAAGGAAGGGTGCATGAAATCAAAGTTCTGACATCTGGAACATAACAATGCAGGTAGTTCTGAACTTACAAGCATTCATTTAGTAACCATCCGAAGTTACAACAGCACTGAAAATAGTGACATGACTATTTTTCACACTTATGACATAACCATGATCATACGATCCAGATTCAGATGCTTGGAAAAATGTATTTTTGTATTTATGATGGTTGCAGTGTCACAGGTTCATGGGATCACCATTTGTAACCTTCTGACAAGCAAAGGGGATAGATGGGGAAATCATCAAATTTGCAGACGACACCAAGCTGGCAGGAATAGCCAACACTCCAGAAGACAGGCTTAGGATACAGGAGAACCTGGACAGATTTGAACACTGGGCGCTATCTAACAAAATGAAATTCAATGGTGAAAAAAGTAAGGTTCTACATTTAGGCAAGAAAAACCAAATGTACAGGTATAGTATAGGGGGTACCTTGCTCAATAGTAGTAACTGTGAGAGGGACCTCGGAGTCCTAGTGGACAATCACCTAAATATGAGCCAACAGTGTGCTGCAGCTGCCAAAAAGGCCAACACAGTGCTGGACTGCATTAACAGAGGGATAGAATCAAGATCACGTGAAATATTAATACCACTTTACAATGCCTTGGTAAGGCCACACTTGGAATACTGCATCCAGTTTTGGTCACCACGATGTAAAAAAGATGTTGAGATTCTAGAAAGAGTACAGAGAAGAGCAACAAAGATGATTAGGGGACTGTAGACTAAAGCATATAAGGAAAGGTTGATGGAATTGGGTATGTCTAGTTTAATGAAGAGAAGAACGAGGGGGGACATGATAGCGGTCTTCCAATATCTCAGGGGCTGCCACAAAGAGGAGGGAGTCAAGCTATTCTCCAAAGTGCCTGAAGGCAGGACAAGAAGCAACGGGTGGAAACTAACCAAAGAGAGAAGCAACCTAGAACTAAGGAGAAACTTCCTGACAGTTAGAACAATTAACCAGTGGAACAACCTGCCTCCAGAAGCAGTGAATGCTCCAACACTGGATGTTTTTAAGAAGAAACTGGACAGCCATTTGTCCGAAATGGTATAGGGTTTCCTGCCTGAGCAGGAGGTTGGATAGATGACCTCCAAGGTCCCTTCCAACTTTATCATCATCATCATCATCAAAATCATCATCATCATCATCATCATCATCATCATTATAGGGTTTCCTGCCTGAGCAGGGGGTTGGCCTAGATGACCTCCAAGGTCCCTTCCAACTTTATTATTATTATTATTATTATTATTATTATTATTATTATTATTATTATTATTGTTGTTGTTGTTGTTGTTGTTGTTGTTGTTGTTGTCGTTGTTGTTAAGTCAACAGGGAAGCAAAATTCATTTAACAACCATGTTACTAACTTAACAACTGCAGTGACTCACTTAACAATCGTGACAGGAAAGGTCATAAAATGGGGCAAAACTTACTTGTCTTGCTTAGCAACAGAAATTTTGGGCTCAATTATGGTTGTAAATCCAGGATTACGTGTATTGCCTCCCATTCTTCTTTAACTGCATGACAAACTGATAATCCCTGTTTCTGCCCCCAAGGCCAGCCAGCTTCTTTGTCCACACTGAAAGTATACATACTAATTTCTCTTCCTCATTCAGAAGACAATGGGGCAGTGTGCATCAAGCCCCATTCCGTTTTTCATGATTCCTAGTATCCCCCAGGATCACACTGCTGAAAATTAGCAGTTAAATAACAATAGCAATAGCACTTAGACTTATATACTGCTTCAAAGTGCTTTACAGCACTCTCTTAAGTGTTTACAAAGCATATTGCCCCCCAAAATATGGGTCTTTATTTTACCAATCTCAGAAGGATGGAAGGCATAAGTCAGTCAGAATCGAAGGAACCAAACTCCTGGCAAAATAAGCAGAATCAGCCTCAATACTGCACTCTAACCACTGTACCACCATGGCTCAATGGTTCACACATCCAAAAAATGCCAAGAAAACCCCCATTGTTTTATGATTTTCAGTGGAAACCATGGAAAATAGTTGCAGTAGGCCTCAAGTAAGCATGGCATGTCTACAAAGGTAATAATCCCTACCAAATGGGTAGAAAGAAAAATGGGTCAAAATGTTTGTCTCCCCAGCCTCAGCAACTTTAAAATTCTTTCTCTTCTGGGAGCTGAAGTCCACACATCTTAAAAGTTGCTCTAAAAAGAAGCAATTTTCCCATGCTTGTAGAGTACAACAGTTTGCAGGAGCAGAAGTAAAGAATAATGGGGAATTTCCACTGTTTCTTGCTACTTTTACATCAAGTAATAGTGTGACTTTTCTACAGAAATAAAAAAAATCAAGCACAAGTGTCTTTTCCATATCAATAAACCACGCAGCTGTTTGTTTCTTATCTGGTGCTCTGCAAAGCATGCAAGACAATAGTTTTTCATCAAGGAGAGAGAGGTAACCTAGAGCTAAGGAGAAATTTCCTAACAATGAGAACAATTAACCAGTGGAACAGCTTGCTTTCAAAAGTTGTAAGACCTCCATCACTGGAGGCATTTTGGATGGCTACTTTATCTGGATTGGTATAGGGTCTCCTGCTTATGCAGGAGGTTGGACTAGAAAATCTCTAAGGTCCCTTCCAACTCTGTTATTCCGTTGTGTTCTGTCACTTACTGCTGCTTTTTCCAGTGTTTCTATACTTACATGGAGAAAAATTTTGTAGTCCACATAAGAATTCCATGAGCCCTCATTGTGTATTCGAGGATCTTGGACACGCACAGTAGTCAGCTCCTGGATTCAGACCCAGAGGAAAAAATACATCTTTAGAGTGCACTTAATTTGCAACACTTCTCTAAATGTTAGGGCCTAAACCAGAGCGATTGCCCCCTTTTCAGCCAAAATAATTGAATAAACAGAAACTCATTATGATTGTAGAAAAGCTTGACTATATTAAAATCCAAGGCTGTAAAGAGATTCAGGCAGATTTATTCCATGGTTCTCAAGCATGGGAAAAAAGAAGTACCGGTAAATATCCAAAGTCTAATAACTATTATGCTTTTCCAATAGTTATTATGGGGAATCTATGACTTTCTGGATGTCATTAGGACTCCAATACCATCCTATCCCAGCCGGAAAGGTCAATGATCAGAGAGAATGAATATTTACAGGACCACACCTAGCCTAATTAAATTTATGTAAGTTAAAGGCAGCTAACCACAAGTTAATTAAGTTATTACATGACGTTCTTGAATCTTAAACATACCTGCCAAGTAGTATAACTGGGCGGCCCACCATATTATTACATAAGTCTGCAATTATGTCTGGTTTTATTATCAATCAGAATATAAATATATATGTTCCTGCTTCACTTCATTTGGAAGAATTGATGAGCAAAGAAAGCTCTATTGCCTTGATCTATTGCCTCAGGGATAAAAACAGAAGAATAATGCAATGTTCAGCCCAGCCATCACCAAACTTATATGCTTCAGAACTACAACACTCAAAATGCTCAGCCACCTTCTGAAAGTTGCAGTCAAACACATATAAAGGATGAGTGGATAAGGAAAGCTTGGCTAACCTACAAGCTATCCAAAACAAACATAGTTTGTTCAACTATGTTTGGTTTGGATATTCAAAACATAGGGTGAAGCTGAGCTGTGGGCACCTGAGAGCAATCCTTGTGCAAGTTTATGTCCTCGTGTCTGTGGTAAAAGACAGCCAGAGAGATATAAATACATACTATGAGGATGACAGACAGGCTAAACAACATATCTTGTTCAAAATATCTCACCACAATCTCATGTATTTTTAGGTACTTATTCTCTAGGGCAGTGGTTCTCAACCTTTTTAATGCCGCGACCCCCAACCGGTCGTAAGTCAAGGACTACCCAACTGGTCGTAAGTCGAGGACTTTCCCTGCCCGGGAGCGCCGCGCATGCGTGGTTCCGCCCCCTGCGCCGGCCGAGGCGTAGCTGGCAAGCGGCAGAGACGGAGCAGGCTGACCACCAGCTGGCCCAGCTCAAGGGAGGTAAAGCACCCACCGGAAAAGGAGGAAAAAAATGGCGGACAGCCTTGCTTGGCGACCCCCGTGAAATGGTTGATCGACCCCAAATGGGGTCCCGACCCATAGGTTGAGAACCGCTGCTCTAGGGTTCAGCTTTATGACACCACATAAATCAGTGCATATATATGTAGGTGTGGATAGCAGCACCTTCTATGGATTCTGACTTAAGCTATAAGTCCTGAAACTTTTCTATGGCTCTGCACAGAAGTTTTCTTATTCCAAGTTACTTGCTTTAAGCACAAATATACAGTAGGAAACAATACTTGGAAATAAAGTGTCCTCACATTTTGGAACAACCTATGCCAATATTGCTTTAGCCTCTATTCTTTCACCATGTTCAGTCAAACTTGGAGACTATTAAAGCTATTTTCATTCTTGGAGGCTGATTGCAGATATTTTTAGAATGGGTGAAATAGAAAATTGTTCATATGGTCATGTCTACTAATGCTAATAATCTTACCTCTTGTTCTTGATATTCTAACATCCTACTTTCACAACTTAGAGGGAAACATCTGTGTAAAAAAAAAAAGAAAGGGCATACAATTAATACCAGAGCATTAATTATCCATCAACTATCTGCATTTCATCAACCCATTTACTAAATAAAATCAGATCCTGCTCTGGAGATGGAGTAAGGGGGAGTAAATGAAATATTTCAGATAAAAGTTAATTTCTAGAACAGAACAACCAAGATATATTCAGGTTATATTCCAATGCTGTCCACTAAAAAGTTAGCTTACCTGCTGTTATTGAACCAAGGACAGGAACAAGGGAATGTCACTTTGGGCTTTTTAAAAAAATTATTTTTTTACTGTTAAAAAAAACAGAAAAAAAGAAAACACAAAGATAGTTATAATGCAAATACTTACACAAACTATATATAAAAATGTGCCTAATATGAAAAAATGTAGCAATTAACACAATTTTATATATATTTAACTATTGTGAATATTATTCAAGCACACATAAATTTCTAATACCTTGTAGAACCATCATTTTCTAACTTTCTTTGTATTTTGTACAAATGAGTTCCATATTTCATTATACCTGACCCTAGAATATCTACATCTATCAGCAATTCACTCATGGTGGCAAGTGCCTCAGATCTTCAATCCATTGAGTGAATGGGGCCGAACTTGAGTTTAGTAAATATAAATCTCTTTTGGAAGGTTAGAATAAAACTTCCTGGCCAGTTATGAACCAGGCACAGAAAACTTGTGCTAACTCAGACAACAACAACAACAACAACAACAACAACAACAATATCATAATAAAGTTGGAAGGGACCTTAGAGGTCATCTAGTCCAACCCCCTGCTCAGGCAAGAAACCCTATACCATTTCAGACAAATGGCTGTCCAGTTTCTTCTTAAAAACTTCCAGTGTTGGAGCATTCACCGCTTCTGGAGGCAGGTTGTTCCACTGGTTAATTGTTCTAACTGTCAGGAAGTTTCTCTTTAGTTCTAGGTTGCTTCTCTCTTTGGTTAGTTTCCACCCATTGCTTCTTGTTCTGCCTTCAGGCACTTTGGAAAATAGCTTGACTCCCTCTTCTTTGTGGCAGCCCCTGAGATATTGGAACACTGCTATCATGTCCCCCCTCGTCCTTCTCTTCGTTAAACTAGACATACCCAATTCCAGCAACTGTTCCTTATATGTTTTAGCCTCCAGTTACTTTGTTGAGTAACAACTCCCAGCATTCTTTACCACTGGCCAGCCCTGACTGGGTCTAGTGAAAAGTGCAATCACAAATATTCAGAGGACACAATCTTCCTCTTATGTTCTAAAATAATCTTTTTTAATACATATTCACTTCACTTTCCTATATTTCTTTCTTTTTTATAGTAACTGGAAAGCCAGATAGCAATGGGTGCATCTAATTATTTGCTAGTTTGGAAGATAGTAGAGCTCTGAAAAACAGATTATGTTAGGGTGATAAGCGAAGATAAGTGAAGAGATAAGTGCTAAGACAGGTGCCTGGTGTATTTCAAGCTAAATTGGAAAGAGGAGTAGGGTGGGGTGGAGTGGAAGAGAGAAGAATCAATGCTATTGGGATAACCTACAATGTCCTGAAAAAAGAAAAGAATTGTTTCAATCTGAATAATTTAATTCAATCTTGCATGGCCAAGATTTTTTCACGACAGAATTTGATAGAGCCCAAGACTAAATTGTACATCCTTCTTAAACCCAGCAGTTCTCCAGAAACAGATTCAGTCTCAACACCTTAATGCTTGTATTTCCAGAGACCAAGAAAGAATGCAAGCACTTGCTCTAGCTTGACAGATACAAGGAGAGTTTGTTAAAGACGTGTATTCCATACATTTTTTGCATCTGATTCAAAAGGTCTCAGAAATACACACAATTTCTAATCCTCATTCCTTCAGCCACCCAAACAATCAAGCAAAACATAAAGTTGGCTAAATTAAGTTTAACAGAATTTTCTTTAATTTTAATTCTGGCTCTAAGGCAGGCATGTCAAACTCACGACGTCACGTGATGTCACGCAACATATCGTGACTTTTTCCCCATTGCTGGCAATGGGATGGGTGCGGTTTTGATGTGACACATCCAGCTTACGGGCCAGCAGTTTGACATGCCTGCTCTAAGGGAACAAGGAATGGTTTGGGCAAGCAGCAGACTCAATGATTCATGACTTTATGACTCTAAAAAAAACAAATGGAAAACCATGAATATCCCATTGAGAAAAACTGAAAAAACTATGCATGCTCATATTTATCTTAAACTGTCCTAAACTTGGCTTCCCTACATCATCCCTAGTAGCCTTGCCTTGGGATTCTTAGCACAAAGTCCCACAAAATTACTGTTAAGTCATCACCTTGATTAGCAGTGCCCTTCCCTACTTTCTGACATATTCAGGTTTTGTTTTTAATTCCTGGATGTACAATATACATGTATTGTGGGTACTAACCCTCCTTCTTTTTATTGAAATTCAGTGGTAACCACATATAGTTTTAAGCACTTTGTAACCTGTTCATCCACAATAGTAAAGTGAGAAAAGCATACCACAAGGTGCTGCAGCAGATAACAATTCCTTCCTTCTGGTTAATATCCTACATGGTGGAAGTAGCAGCTTTTGGAATCTGTTTACCTGTGCGCCGGAAAGATATAATATAATAAACACCAACACTATTAGATCTCATGGAAGATTTAATACTGATGTATTTTCTTACCATTTGATCTGGAAAAAAACATACTTAAAAAAGATTATAGATGTCACTATAGTTACATATGCCTGAAGAACATAGAAACAGAGCTGGATTCAGGAGGGTTTTTTTGAAGGGGGGGTTGGATTAGGCAAAATGGCCCGAATGGGCCTTTTCCCCTTATTCCTGCTGTCATCACTACTCATCCACTTCCCCTTCTTCATTTTCCAGATGGGAAAAATGAGCAGGAGTTGTTGTTCTTTGCTCCTATCAGTATTTCCTTCATTAAAATAAATAAAGAATAACAAAGGGACCCCAAATTTAGTAGTATTATATAATTGAGCATTAGAGTGATTCCAATCCCTCATGTCAGGATTATACAGAAGCTAATTTCAGTCCTCACTATCTAGGTACATTTAGATCTGGTTTGACCACAAAATAGTGCGTTTTGACACTATTTAGAAACATAGGTCATTAGGTATTATTGAACAGTTGGAAATATTTATACAAATAGTAAAGAGGTTATACAAGTTACCTGGGAAACCTGACCGACTGAAGTAGGGATAGGCTGTAGGAGCCCTTCCTGGATTTTGAATACCCACAGACAGTCTAATCAATGCCAGGAAATCTTATATTTTTTTTCTACGTATGAGGGGCATCCATTTGCATACTCTTGAATTAGAAAGACTCACTATATTAATGTTTTTCAAACTTGACAACCTTAAGAGATGTAGACTTCAACTCCTAGAATTCTGGGAGTTGACGTTCACACATCTTAAAAGTTGCTGAGGTTGAGAAACCCTGCATTGTATGTTCCCCAGTGTGGTGTTCTCCATTATCCCAGTCACTGTAGCTATGCAGAACAAGACTTCCAGTGTCAACTCTCTCAAGAGCCCCAATTCTTTAGAATTCCCTAGGTCAGGAAATGGTAAACTAGATTTAAATAGACAAAACATAAAAATACTTTAAAGCCAGTAAACAGCTTCTAATGTTAATAACTAAGAGGGACTTTTATTCTTCCTGTACCCTCAGTTAAGTGCAAATTAGGTTGTTCTGCCTTTCAATTGACTTGCAAAATACTTCATTATTATGCCATCTAATCTCCCAGTGGGACTGTTAAGTAGGACAAACTGACCGATTTTATTTTCAAGGGCTCTCTGCCAATAAAGACAATGCTGACCGAAATGATATTATGAGGAACATGAGCTCCCAAAAATACAGAATGAGGCAGAGACATAAAAATTTAATCCCCAACCTGCAGATATGAACTTAAACCATCCTTCTCACGACCATTTCCCTTCTGATGTACTGGACTTCCAGTTCTTGTAATTACCAGCCAGCAGCCTGCTGGCCTTCCTGGCTGGGAATTACAGGAGTTGAAATCCACATGCCTGTTTGAAAAGGCAGTTTAAAGCTTGGGTTGTCGTTGTTAATCTGCCTGTAGACTGCTCTTTTTGCACCTACAAATCTCCTTGCCTCAGCCAATGTTAATTTTTATGCTACTTTAATTAAACTATAGAAATTGGGTGCAAAGCAGTGCACCAGCCTCAAACATAACTTGTTTCCAATAATGCATTGCAGCCCCACCTAGATCTCAGAGAATTGTTTAGAAAATTTAAAAAAAGAGATGGGGGAAGCACACCACTACACAGCTCTTTGCTTGAATGAGAATATCCAAAACAAACAAGCAAACAGGGTAGGCTAAAGTAATAGAGAGAAACTTGAGAGAGAAGAAGGGCTGGTGGAAAGCAACTTCACCAGTTTGCCTTCTGAAAAACAGGTATTTTCTGTTTAGCCATATGCATACCACAACAACCTTTCTGAGTATGTCCCTAGCATGCACTCAAAGCTTCAAGTACATCCACTGGCCTAAAAATGTGGGCTTGGCTTAAAGAAGGAGTTCTTAATTTGAAGTCCACCAACCCTTTTATGGAGGCTGTGAATCTGAATGAGGAAAATAAATACAACTTTATTTTCTGCATCCTCTCACTGACATTTACTTTTTCATTTAAGTAGGCAACAAAATAATGTGCGGATTTGAGATTCCAAAAACATCTTACTTCAATACATCTTGCTATCTAAAATTATTATACTCTTAGAATGTATTGTCTTGTTGAATATTACTATATTACATATTTGCTATTTTTAATGCTTTAGTAATGGTACTTGAATACTTAGCTTCCTTAGTAGCACAATCTATATCTAGGTAATTTATGTGCTTAGATATATTTTTCAAAAAAGGGTTCCATGTCACCAGACTCTGAAAAAGGCTCATGGCTCAAAAAGTTTAAGAACTCCTGACTCCATTGCCTGAACCAATTCCCATCATAAACTCTCTAAGCAGGAGGGAGTTATTAAGGGCTTTCTATATGCTCTGCCCTGTGGCTCAGCACAGCTGGCTCATCCCTAAATCCTATAGCAGGAGCACCTACAGGAGAGAGGGGGTCAAAAATGCCAAGGGACTCTGCAGCTGAAGCCCATCCCTTTTTACTATCATTCAGGAAGATTTTTTTTTCATCATTTGTAGATTTCTAAAGACAAAAGTTCTCTTATGTCAGTCCATAAAAATCGTCAAATTTATTCCAGAATAAAACCATCTCATCTTTCAGATATATAGCTCAAACCTCATTTTTGAGTAATTCCATGACCCATAGAATAATGATTGTACCAATAAGGCCTATAAAAATTATAATAGATTGTTCCAAAGCACAGTTGCCATTTATAACATATATACTTGCAGTATGACCACAGTATGTCATCTTTGCAGTTACATTACTTACATTAGACCTCTGAATGTCTACTTCATTATCACAATTAATTTCCAAAGCTGAAGAAAAAAGGAAGCATTTGGCCATGCACATGTTTCCTTTAATTACTGAAGAAAAGCCACAACTGCCCCCAAGTTCATATTAGCAGGTCAAAAATTCAAGACAAAAGGCCTTGATTCACACAAGGAATAGAGTTCAGCATTCCTTCTTTTAGAAGTAAAGCCCTGCCCAGCTTCAGCTTCCCTTTACCCTCATTGCCTGGATTTGTTCAGTAGGATATATTAAGCTGAAATAGAACAGGAAAGACATGGCACAAGATATTGTAGAAATTCAACTCCTGTTGCAATGTGTTATGCAAACTGCACCATCCCCCAATACCTCTTATATGGTTTACCTGGCTGGGCACAGCAATATGTAATGCAAATATAACAACTATAGGTTGTTGACTTACAACTATTCATTTAATGACTATATGAAGTTACAATAGCATTGAAAAAGGGACCTATGACCATTTTTCACACTTATACTGGTTGCAGCATCCCCACATGATCAAAATTCAGACATGTGGCAACTGGCATATATTTATGCAGTGCCATGTGATCACCTTTTGTGACCTTCTGACAAAATCAATGGGGAAGCCAGATACATTTAACAACCGTGTTATTAATTTAACCACTGCACTGACTCACTTCACAACTGTGGCAAGAAAGTTTGCAAAATGGGGCAAAACTCACTTAACAAATTGTCTTGCTTAGGAATGGAAATTTTGGGCTCAACTGTGGTCGTAAGTCAAGGATTACCTGTAGTTTAGGATTTTGGTTCTAAGAACCCAGTTAAAGCATAAACCAGCCCTTTCCAGGTTGTTATTTTCCCATTTCTTGACCTACAATAATCCAACTTGCAAGTGAAAATCACAGCATTAGGGAAAACATGCCCTTTGTTCAAATGTGAGTTTTTAGTAGACGCTCATTGACTTCCCTCAGGACAATATTAGCGGAAATGTTAACACATCCTGGCAGTTAGATGAGGGGGAAGGAATTCACACTGCTCTGCTAATCCCTGTAACAACCCAGTTTGGAGTACTTTCTACTCTCTTTGGGCACTGTATGTCCTACACCACAATGCTTGATAAAAAGATAACCCCAGAATCCCTGCTGATTGCTCCCACCAAAAGTTAGGTATTCATCCATCACTCTTTCAACTTCCAGGAACATAAACTGTCAGTTTCTGAGACAAATGTCCCTTTCCAATTGCCTGTTAGTAGCAACTGCTCAGAATCTGAGAGCAATCAATTGTTGCCTTTTCTGAACACTAAAATAAAGCAAACCAGATTGGATTTCTGGAAAGTTTTCTGTAACATGCCCAGTCCTTTCCAGCGGAACCACAGGAGTCCTTTCTGCCTACGTGGTTATTTCCATTCTGGCTGTTTCCTCCTCCACTCTGTCACCAACAGGTGGATCCCACCCGTGAGAGGGATTAGTTTCAAGCGGAGGGGGCGAGCTTTCCTAGGGCCATCTATCTGCAAGGGAAAAGAAGGGAAACCCACGCAATGCCCACGGCACCTTGCGGAAAGGCCCCGGTCTGGGCCCTCTGTTCCACCCACTCGTCCTGGCGAACTTTAGTCTCCAGCAGGAAAAAGGGCTGCTTAGTAGCAAATAATAGGCCAACGTTTCCCTTCAGGCATACTGGGCTGCAGCTCCATCAATGCCAGCGGACAATACCTGTTTGAAGAAAACTGTGCCAAAACTAGATTTCTGTTTCTCAGTGATACTTTTTTGCCTTCCCAGCTTAAGATCACTACCCCCCCCCCATAACCATCACCGCTCCACTCCAAGCCAACCTTCCCTGTAGCCCACCAGTCTTGTGTGCTAGACTGTCAATATATATATGCTCGGGATCCGCTCCAAAAAGCACCACTTGCACCGACAACCACTTTTATATTCGCCCTGCTGCTTCTGCTGCCGCCGACTCATTTCGTCGGAACAACCGTTCTTTATTCACGTTCCCACTTCTTACCTGACCAACTTCATTTTTCCCTCTCATTATTTCTGCATTTTCTTAAAATCAAATAATGGGCTATTCTGCTAATTCTTGTCTTTCAGACCCTGGACCCTGCCGCCAGCTTTCCGCTTACTTTGCAACCTCCCCGCTTTTCTTACCAAAGCTTCTGATTTAGATACGTCCCCTTTAAGACAACCCAAGCTCCACTGCTGGCTTCCTCTCATAGTTTTTTTTTTTAATCATCTTTCCAATGACCTACTTCCGTTTAAAGATAAAAGCCGCGTGGGCTCTTGGGAAACGTAGTTCCGATTCTGAACCTAAGGTAGTAACTTGTACGGATAAAGTTTCATCTTCGTGTTTTGGTTTCCGTGCGTCTTATTAATCCAAGTTTAGAATTTTGCTTCTGAGAGCCTAGTTACTAAATATACCTGCTTGAGAACATAAATTAGCGCTTTCCAGTTTGTTGTTTTCCCATTTCCTGACCTACAGAATTAAATCCTGTTTATGCATCTTTCACTTACTCTGTTCGTTGATATTAAAGTCATATTTGTAGCGCTCGACACAAGTAGAAAATATATCATCCCGATTCTGTTATGACTTACGAGATTGGAGTTGGAATGTAAACATCACCAGGAATGGATGCTCTCATTAAACAGCAAGCCTATATCCTTACAGTAATTGAAAATAAATGCTGTGGAAAATAGATTTCTGAGTAAATGCCAATCAAAGGAAGCAAAGAGTAGACTTTCATCCCCGTGTATAAGAAAAGAAAATGTACTAAAAAGAATGACAGAGCATGTGGCTATTTAAATCAGGCTTGTTAACAACCCACCCCCACTGCAACTGCCTGCATATATTTTTATGTTGTTTTCCTAGGCTATTGTTGAATGTACTCATGGGAGAAGAGAGCTATATTTTATGTTGGAAGCACTCTTCTCAGTAACTCTCTTTTTTAGAGAAGAGCTGAGCATTTTTATTCTGCCAGCCTACTCAGTTGCCTGCATGGGTTTCCATGTAATTCCTTCATGTAATTCCTAATCTAAAATAAAAAACTGGTACTTAAACGTAGACTGAATTGAAATAAACTAATTCTCTATATAAGACGTAAGAAAACATTTTACTTTAGAATGAACACAGGGATATAGTTATGTAGGAGTCACTAGCCATGTATAGTGTATGTAGTGAGTATACATGAAGGAAAAAAGCATTATCTGATAATGCTCATGGGAGTGATTTGGTGTGTTGGATCCTATTTGGAATAAAAAGCATATGATACAATTTGTTTCAGAAATGTGACTGGAATGATCCGAATTCTGCATCCAAGCCCCCAATCAAACACATTCTGTTATAAAGTCACTTTAATTGATAATTGTCATTTGAGTGTTTTCATTTTATTCCAAGCTTCAGTTCTAACATTATTTCCTATTAATTGCAATAGTAACCTTGTAATACAGTAGTTATAATAATTTATTTTGATTCAAGGCTATCTTTAGCTTAAAAAAAGCTTTGTATACATTACAGCATAACCTTTTGCAGACTATAAACCAATGTTATTAGATGTCTGAAATATAATAGTTTAAGACATGGGTGTCCAATCTTTTGGCTTGCCTGGGCCACATTGTGTCAAGAGGAATTGTCTTGAGCCATATATATAATATGGTGAATATATATATAAATAACAAACTTCCTTTTTTAAAAAAAAATTATATCTTGAGGGGCCACATTACTAGCTGTCCAGGGCCACATGCGGGCTGTGGGCTGCAGGTTGAGCATGCTGGTTTAAGAGGATACAGATACATTCATGAGATTGAGTGGAATGGAAAGAAGAACAAGGAGTGAGGGGAATGGATTGTTGATAGGTGCAAGAATTATAATAACTTTATTGACAGTAGCCACCCATGACTATTTAAAATTTAGTTCTTTTCCTCAGAATGGTTATCATAAGGTCAGTGAAAGAATACATTTTAATCTTAGAATCATAGGGCTGGAAGGGATCCCTGGAGGTCTTCTAATCCAACCCCCTATTCAAGGTAGGAGCCTTATACCATGTGAATTAAAAGGCTGTCCAGTCTATTCTTAAAAAACTTCCAGTGATGGACCACCTGCAACCCCAGGAGGCAAGCTATTCCATTGATTAATTGCTCTCGCTATCAGACATTTTCTCCTTACTTCCAGATTAGATCTCTCTTTGACAAGTTTCCATCCATTACTTCTTGTCCCACCCTCTGGTGCCTTAGAGAGTAAGTCAATCCCCTCTTCTTTATGACAACTCCTCGGGAACTGGAAGACAGCTACCATGTTCCCCTAATCATTCTCTTCAATAGGTTAGATATACCTAGCTCCCTCAACAGTTTGTCATATGATTTAGCCTTTAGACCCATTATCATTTTTGTTGTTCTTCTCTGCATACTTTCCAAGTCACAACTTCTTCTATTGTGAATAGAATGCAGTATTCTAAATCAGCATGGTGTAAAGTAGTACTCACACTTTTTGCCAGGACTGTTAATGCCTTTTTTGACAGCTGCACATACTGCTGGTGCATACTTAAGTGATGGCTCACTGGGAACTGATAGTGGTGGTTCACTAGGACACCTCAGTTCCCTTTCTCACATCCAGGTACCATCTATTCTATATCTGTACATTTGGCTTTTCTTGCCTGTGGGTAGGATCATACTTTTCTCACCCCTGAATTACATTTTGTTGAATAAAGTGGAAAGAAAAAAGGAAAAGACGCATAGGAAGATTTCCTCAACTATATGTCTCTAAAGAAGAGGAAAAATATACAAGATGTTATATCTGAATAAGCAATGCAAAGAAAGTGAGAATTACAACCAAATAAGATGATCAAGAAAAATTAGAAAAATACAAAAGAAACCTGTTGGCCAAAACACAAAAGTAAGAAGGTAGAGATCTAATGGAAAAAGAAGATATAAAGGAGAAATAGTGCATAGAATTATGCAAAAGAGACTCAGAATAAATGATATATGTGAAAATTTATTCACTGAACTAGAACACTTCTCATGAATGAAGGCGAATATACAAGTCCCATGATAATTTTGCAGGATCTAGTCTGGGATGGTCACCAGGGCCAGAGGTTTGGTCTTCCAAGCTTTCGGACTCATGCTGGAGCCCATCTTCCTTCCCCACCTTCCCCAAAGATGGGCTCCAGCATGAGTCCGAAAGCTTGGAAGACTAAACCTCTGGTTCTGGTGATCAGCCCAGATTGGATTCTAGAGCACTTCTGGAAAGTGAAGGTAAATGAGTCTTAAAATACATTGCTGACAGCAAACTGCAAGATTGATAAATTACCAACACCATTTAAAGTCTTACAAAATGTTAAACTATTCCATGCATTTTGCAAAAAAAAAAAAGAGCAATGCTGAGGAGTATACAAACTACTGAATAATGTATGGATTTCATATACTAATAAAATGACACTCAAAATTATAGCAAGATACTCAAGAGTCAACAATTTATTGAACAAGAAATGTGAGGTCATAAGAATGATAACCAGAAAACAACTGTTTGTATATGACTTTCTGATTGTGAATTGAAGGGAAACAAAACAAAATCTAATTTATCTGTACTGTACCATGTACTGGACACAATACTTCGAAATATATAAAAAAACTGGTTCCATTCCTTGGATCTATTCCTCCAAGCCAGTTTACTTGATAAAGCCATCCCTATCCCATATACTACACTTGATTAGAAAGTCCTTGCAGTATTGAAACTATCTCCAAATTCAGCTGTATCCAGACACATTTTATTCTTGACCTTTTCCGTGTTAAGAAACACTCTGATTCTTCATGATTTGTAAATTAACATTGGGAGTTGTTTGGTCTAGATTAAAGTTACTGTGCTGAATGTATCTCCAAGCCACAGGGCTAATCAGATGGTTGTGACAGTGAGAGAATATCATGTCTTCAGAATGAGTCACTTCAGCATCGGGGACTAGGACCTTAGTCACTATTTAAAATGAGTCAGGTTTTTTTATCTTTATATTATATCTTTATATTATTTATGCAGGAGAACTCATGTTAAGAATTACGATTCAGGCTCAACCTTACTGTATTCCGTTTGCCTCCTTCAGTTACCAACAATTCTTTCTCTGCACTTTCCTCTTTAGGCATTAGCAAATTTCTGCAGATTGGTAACACAATTTAGTTCTGCATCCTATAAATTCTTGTACTGAGTTTTTCTGGCTTTCTTATAATGGATATTTTGATGAGCCAGGAGAAATAATTAGGGATTGGGCCTTAAAGTTATGCCCAGTTTCTTTCTGTTTTAACTGCTGGTTTTACTTTCCCATTGCTTTGTAGAAATGCTTGGAAGGCAGGAAAATGGTCAACTTCTCATAGATGTCAAAATTGTCTGAATTTATCACTTTTACATTGAGAGCTGTTCATACTTAAAAACCGGGGACAGATATGTCATACCTGGACAAGTGTCTTTACTATCCAGATCACTTCTTTGCTCATTTATTCTATAGGATATTTTGATTTTTCTGAAGCTGGAATAATTCTTTGCAGGTTAAAGTTACTACTTTTGTTTAAAGGTAAATAGACATATGGCAATTTCTGCCTAATGATAAATTTATGTAATTTTAAGGGCTCCTTCTCTTAACACTTGTCACAGGAACTACAGATTTACACTTTTCCATATAAACTTTCAATAATGTGCTCATTTCATGCCAATAAAAACACTCTCAAGCTTGCCAAACATTACTGTCAGTTTCATGTGTGACTCATAATGTTTTCCCTTAGCATTCTTGCAGAGTGATAAATGTTTGCCCACAGTAAGCAAGATATTTTTTTTAGTTTTATTCATTTATAACATAAAATGTGAAAATACAAAAGCAAATAGGGACAACAATAGAGAAAAGGAAAACAAAAAAATGTGAGGGAAGGAACAAAAGGCATTGACTTCCGACTCTCCATTGCAGTAAAATCAGACATTAAAATCAAATCTCAACTTTTTACATTTCTATAGTAGTATGCACTAGCCATTTCTGTATCGGCAAATCAGTCTAATCAGTAAAACCCAAAATCATAATATAATTTTTCCCACCTCAAGTCCAGAAGCGGTTTCCAAGTAGAAACAAAAATACTTATGTTCTTTTCTTTTATCAGCACAGTCAATTTGGCCATCTCTGCTAATTCCATCAGCTTTTGTAACCATTCCTCCATAGTAGGA